GATACATATTGATGTCCTTATGCTGTGTAGAAAGTTTGAGGTGATTCTGACTTCAATTTTTTAAGCTACGGCCATTTTAAGAAAACACCAAAATTCTAAAAAATATCCAAGGCTATATATAGTCCATGGTTTTTTTCAAAAAATGGCCAAAAATCACCCCAAATTTTTATTATATTTTCTAATACATATTGATGTCCTTATGCTGTGTAGAAAGTTTGAGGTGATTCCGACCAGGGTTGGGGCGAAGTACTTTGAAAAGTACTTAAGTAAAACCCAAGTACATTTACAAAATACATGTACTTAAGTATAAGTACAAGTACATGATTGCTTTTGACAAAAGTACTTAAGTATAAGTAAAAATACTTGGATATGTACTTAAGTATAAGTGTAAGTACTTTTTAGAGTCGATTTAATTATATTACAATCAATTACTATTACATGTAATGAACATTAATTTTCAAAACATGAGCCCCTGTTCAGTTACAGTTAGAAATAAGTGAAGAGACTGGCCAACTACCCAGCTAAAGACAAAGTAGTGATACTAGAATTTGCACTTACTTTCCGTGATACACTGATATAGTATTGAAAGTACATGTAATCACACTAGCTGTGGTAATAACACACACATTATACAATCTGTGCTTAAAAAGACTTAAAAGTACTTAAAAGACTTATAAGTACGTGAAGTACATCAAGTACATAGACTAATACTTAAGTATAAGTACAAGTACCAATGTACTTCGCCCCAACCCTGATTCCGACGGAATCCGACTTTAATTTTTCAAGTTACAGCCATTTCAAAAAATTCCAAAAAATATCCAAAGCTACACTGTGAAAAAAGAAGTGTTGCTGTAGCACTAAATTGAGGTGTCAAAGTATTGTGCAGTTTTAACACTATATATGTGTCACTGTAACACCAATTGTGTTGCTATGATACAATAATCATGTCAAAACTATATTATTGACAAATGGAGATAAATGAATAATAATGATAGATGAGCACTAAACAATACTATATGGTAGTCAATCACATAAGTCCCTCGATGACAGGGTGTATAACAAGTGGTGCTGTGGCAGAAAGTGTCATTCCATACAAAAATTCAAGTAAATAGCACAGTGGACGAGAAGTGACATCATATTTAATGTTGAAAACATAGTATGCTTGAAGGCAATACTCTAAAGAGGCCAGAAGGCTTGGCAATGTGATAACATTTTTTTTCTCAATGACCACTCTAAACTCCACCATATTAGAAAGATCACTACCAAAGCCAAGTATATGGGGATGGCTATGTTGTATCTTGCATAATGCTTCATCCATATCAATGTTCTCATAACATTTTTTTTCTCAATGACCACTCTAAACTCCACCATATTAGAAAGATCACTACCAAAGCCAAGTATATGGGGATGGCTATGTTGTATCTTGCATAATGCTTCATCCATATCAATGTTCTCACCCTGCATTTTTAATAACAGATTTAACAAAGAATAAACTATATATATGTACCTGGATAGTCATAAATAAGAGTGGCCTAGATTTTCCTCTAGCTGTAGCAAGTAGCGTAGCAACTGATATTGCATAAGTCATCATTTGATCTGTATTGTAAACAAAGTAACATGCAACCAAAATAAATATAACTTACCATCAGTTGGTTGTTGCAACATTAGGTAACTTTTCATTAATTTCTTTACTTCTCTT